GACAGGGTTTCTCTGTGGCTTTGGAGCCTGTCCTGGAACTAGCTCTGTAGACCAGGCTGGCCTCGAACTCACAGAGATCCGCCTGCCTCTGCCTCCCGAGTGCTGGGATTAAAGGCGTGCGCCACCACCGCCCGGCTCGGTTTTTTGTTTTTCCATATAAAGTTGATTATTGTCTTCTCCAGATCTGTGAAGAATTTTGATGGGGATTGCATTGAATCTATAGATTGCTTTTGGTAGAATTGCCATTTTTACTATGTTGATCTTCCCAAGATCAGGGGAGATCCTTCCATTTTCTGGTGTCCTCTTCAATTTCTTTCTTCAAAGACTTAAAGTTCTTGTCATATAGATCTTTCACTTCCTTGGTCAGAGTTACCCCAAGATATTTTATGCTATTTGTGGCTATTGTGAAAGGTGATGCTTCTCTGATTTCCCTCTCTGTTTCCTTATCCTTAGTGTATAGGAAGGCCACTGATTTTTCTGGAGTTGATCTTATATCCTGCCACATTACTAAAAGGTGTTTATCAGCTGTAGGAGTTCTTTGGTAGAGTTTTTGGGGTCACTTATGTATACTATCATATCATCTGCAAATAACAAAAGCTTAACTTCTTCCTTTCCAATACGAATCCCCTTGATCCCCTTATGTTGTCTTATTGCTATTGCTAGAACTTCAAGCGTTATATTGAAGAGGTATGGAGAGAGTGGACATCCTTGTCGTGTTCCTGATTTTAGTGGGATGGCTTTGAGTTTTTCTCCGTTTAATTTAATGTTAGCTGTTGGCTTGCTGTAAATAGCTTTTATTATATTTAGGTATGACCCTTGTATCCCTAGTCTCTCTAAGACCTTTATCATAAAGGGGTGTTGAATTTTGTCAAATGCTTTTTCAGCATCTAATGAAATGATCATATGGTTTTTTTTTTCTTTCAGTTTATTTATATGGTGGATTACATTGATAGATTTGCGTATGTTGAACCAGCCCTGCATCTCTGGAATGAAGCCTACTTGATCATAATGGATAATTTTTCTAATGTGTTCTTGGATTCGGTTTGCCAGTATTTTATTGAGAATTTTTGCGTCGAAATTCATGAGTGAGATAAGCCTGTAATTCTCTTTCTTGGTTGGGTCTTTGTGTGGTTTTGGTATCAGGGTAACTGTAGCTTCATAAAAGGAATTTGGCAATGACTCTCCTGTTTCTATATTGTGGAATACATTAAGGAGTATAGGTATTAGCTCTTCTTGGAAGTTCTGGTAGAATTCTGCATTGAAACCATCTGGTCCTGGGCTTTTTTTGGAAGGGGGATTTTTGATAACTGTTTCTAGTTCTTCGCGACTAACAGGTCTATTTAGATCGTTCACCTGGTCTTGGTTTAGCTTTGGTATATGGTACTTATCTAAAAAAAATGTATTTTTGTATTTTCCAGTTTTGTGGCATACAGGCTTTTGTAGTAAGATCTAATGATTCTCTGAATTTCCTCTGTGTCTGTGGTTATGTCCCCCTTTTCATTTCTGATCTTATTTATTTGCGTGTTCTCTCTCTGTCGTTTAATTAGTTTGGATAGGGGTTTGTCGATCTTGTTGATTTTCTCCAAGAACCAACTTTTTGTTTCATTGATTCTTTGGACTGCTTTCTGTGTTTCTATTTTGTTGATTTCTGCCCTCAGTTTGATTATTTCCAGTCTTCTACTCCTCCTGGGTGTGTCTGCTTCTTCTTTTTTTTTTTTTTTAAGCTTTCAGGTGTGCTGTTAAGTCCCTGATGTATGCTTTCTCCGTTTTCTTTAAGTGGGCACTTAGTGCTATGAACTTTCCTCTTAGCACTGCTTTCATTGTGTCCCATAGGTTTGAGTATGTTGTCTCTTTATTTTCATTAAATTCAAGGAAAACTTTAATTTCTTTCTTAATTTCTTCCTTGACCCAGGTGTGGTTCAGTAGTTGACTGTTCAGTTTCCATGAGTTTGTCGGCTTTCTGGGGGTAGCATTGTTGTTGCCTTCTAACTTTAATTTGTGGTGATCTGATAAGACACAGGTGGACACTGATATTTTTTTGTATCTGTGGAGGTTTCCTTTGTTACCAAGTATGTGGTCAATTTTTGAGAAGGTTCCATGAGCTGCAGAGAAGAAGGTATATTCTTTCTTATTTGGGTGGAGTGTTCTATAGATGTCTGTTAAGTCCATTTGCTTCATTACCTCCAATAATTCTCTTAATTCTCTATTAGGTTTCTGTCTGATTGATCTGTCCATTGGAGAGAGAGGTGTGTTGAAGTTTCCTACTACTAGTGTGTGTGGTTTGATGTCTACCTTGAGTTCTAGTAATATTTCTTTTACATAAGTGGGTGCTTTTATATTAGGGGCGTAGATATTCAGGATTGAGACTTCATCCTGATGAATTGTTCCTGTTATGAGTATAAAGTGTCCATCTCGATCTCTTCTGATTGATTTTAGTTTGAAGTCAGTTTTGTTAGAAATTAGTATGGCCACCCCTGCTTTTTTCTTAGGACCATTTGCTTGAAACACCTTTTCCCAACCTTTTACTCTGAGTAGATGCCTGTCTTTGTGTTTGAGATGTGTTTCTTGCAAACAGCAGAATGTTGGATCCTGTTTTCGTATCCAATCTCTTAGCCTGTGCCTTTTTATAGGTGAATTGAGACCATTAATATTAAGTGATATTAATGACCAGTGGTTGTTTACTCCGGTTATTCTTATTGTTTTTGGTAGTAGAGTTTGTGTGTCTCCCTTCTTTGAGCTGTGCTGGTGAAGGGTCGCTAGATGCCTGAGTTATTGTAGGCAGTGTTGGCAATGTTGGATTCCTTGGGTTGCAATTTTCCTTCTATTACTTTCTGTAGGGCTGGATTTGTGGCTATGTATTGTTTACATTTGTTCTTATCCTGGAATGTCTTGTTTTCTCCATTGATAGTGAACAATAGCTTGGCTGGGTATAGTAGTTTTGGTTTGCATCCATGGTCTCTTAGTTTCTGCAGTACCTCTATCCAGGACCTTCTGGCTTTCATGGTTTCCATAGAGAAGTCAGGTGTAAGTCTGATCGGTTTACCTTTATAAGTTACTTGGCCTTTTTCCTTTGCAGCTCTTAATATTCTTTCTTTAACCTGTGTATTTTGTGTTTTGATTATTATATGGCGAGGGGATGTTTTTCTTTGATCCAGTCTGTTTGGTGTTCTGTATGCTTCTTGAATATTCAAAGGACTATCTTTCTTTACGTTGGGAAAGTTTTCTTCCATAAATTAGTTAAAAATATTTTCTGGGCCTTTGAGCTGTGACTCTTCTCTTTCTTCTATTCCTATTATTCTTAGGTTTGGTCTTTTTATTGTGTCCCATATTTCCTGAATGTTTTGTGATGAGAATTTGTTGGCTTTGCTGTTTTCTTTGATCAGTGTGTTTATTTTCTCTATGGTGTCCTCAGAATCTGAGATTCTTTCTTCTATCTCTTGTATTCTATTGATTATGCTTGTTTCTGTAGGCTCTGCTCGTTGACCTAGATTTTCCATATCCAACTGGTCCTCAGTTTGTGTTTTCTTCCTTGCTTCTATTTCAGTTTTCAATTCTTGAACTGTTTCCATTACCTGTTTGATCTTTTTTTCTTGGTTTCCCAGGGTATCATGTATATATTTACTCATTTCTTCAAACTTTTTGTTATACTTCTCATCCATTTCTATAAGGGCATTTTTCACATGTTGTTTAAGGGACTCTATTGCTTTCATAAAGTCAATTTTTTCCACTTCTTCTGTGTTAGGGTGTTCAAGTCCTTCTGTTTTAAGATCATTGGGTTCTGGTGTTTTCATGTTGTTTTTCAGATTATTGGGTGAATTTTTGCCTTGGCGCCTGCCCATCTCCTCCTCTCAATGCTATCTAATGGGTCTTTTAAAACCGGATCAGGTTTCCCTGCTGGCCAGGGACTCCTCTTACAAAATGCCCTCGCTCTGTTTCCTGGCTCCTGCCGGGGGCCAAGATCCCTCTCACCCCTCAGAAGGGTCTTCAGGAACAGGACCCGGCTCCTCGTTTGCCAGGGACCTCGCCAACCAAAGGCCTACCTCCTTGATTTAATTGTAGTGGGGCGATCTGCTCTTGGAGTTGTGCGCCGCGCCAGCCCCCCTGGACCCCGCCGCCTGTGGCCTGCATCGTCTGCTGCCGCGCCCTCCCCTTTTGTTTTTGATTTCTTGAGACAGGTTCTATTTCTGTAGCCCTGGCTGTCCTGGAACTCACAGACAGCTACCCGCCTCTGCCTTTGCTTCCCGAGTGCTGCCATTAAAGCTCTCACCGGCCATGTCAGGACGGGGGTTTTCCTTTTTTGAGCACAGATAGAGTTCACACTACTGGGAATGTGTGAGCTTCCTGAGGAAAGAGTTTCAATTTTGAGAGATCTAAGTTAGAAACACCCAGACTTGGGAGTAAAATTAATAGGATCTGGGCTAGGGCAACAGGGTGAAGTCCATGGCAAACTTTAGAAGTTAAGTGGGTTCCAGAGAGAAGAAAGGATAATGTTCCCACCACAGACAGCAAGTGGCTTCACGTAGATGGAAGACGGTGACATCTGGGGCAGGAAAACACTTTTCCAAGGCAAGGAGAAGAAGAGAGCTGGAGAATGGGTTTTGGCAAGTTGGAATATCTGAGCCTTACTGTAGCCTCTGAGCTCCTATTGGGAAAAATCTCAGTGGCTATTCTTGGAAAGAGTCGGTACAGGCATAATTTTGTCCTATTTGTTTTAATAACATGTAAAGAAAAGCCTCTAGCACTTGTCTTTCTTGTTCTCCCATTTTCCAGATTAATGTTCAAGAGCAGCAGATATAGAGAGGCAGTGGTGGCAAACCCCCCTTGGATCCCAGCACTCCAGAGGCAGAGACAGTCAGATCTCTGTGAGTCCAGCCTGGTCTACATAGTGCGTTCCAGGACAGCCAGAGCTATGTAGAGAGGTCATGTCTCAAAAATTTTTTTAATTATTAAAAAAATCCAGAAGTAAGATTCACACAATTGTATTAGAATTAAGATGTGAACATGGTCTCATTCATATCCTTTTATTAAGCTATTTGCACATTTGCATGGGGCTTGGTGATAAGGGAGTTCTCCCTCCCACCACAGCACCCCGCCAGAGAAAAAGGTGGGCTTCAGCAAGTGCTGCACTGGCTAGGCTATACATCCCAGTGTAGGCTGATGGCATTGATGCCAGTGCTAGATCGGCCACTAATGAAGCGGAGGACGGTGTTGGGGTGCAAGGGAACGGCATTGAAACTTATGCCTGAGTCTTCTCCAAAAGTCAGCTTGCGGCCTTTGTCTGTCACGATGATCAGCTGCTTCACGAAAAACCTATATTTGCCAGACACCTGGATCATGGATTCCCCAGGGTGCAGAAAGATCTCCTCCAGGTCTCCGTGTTTGCCACCCACGTATTCGCTCCACACTGTGCCATAGCGAACTTGGAGACTGGGGGCAGGTGTGAGAAGAAAGAAGGAACACATTGGTTATCACAATCAAGACTGGGATGGATGGTAAGGTAGCTCAGCTGGTAAAGCTGCCTGCTGCCAATCCTAACAACCTAAGTTCAACCCCTAGGTCCATATGGTGGAGGGAGAGAACCCATTCCCAGAAGATTCCCTCCGGCTTCCACATTTACAAGGGGACACTTGAGCAATTCCACACATGCACACAAACATAAAATAAATGTATTATATATTTTACATATATCTTTTATATATTTAATATATATAATATCATTTATATATATATATATAGATCAAGTTTATTTAGTCTATATTTTGTATCTTTTTTTTTAAATTTTTTTCGAGACAGGGTTTCTGCGTAGCTTTTGGTTCCGGTCCTGGAACTAGCTCTTGTAGACCTGGCTGGCCTCGAACTCACAGAGATCCGCCTGCCTCTGCCTCCCGAGTGCTGGGATTAAAGGCATGCGCCACCACCGCCCGGTGTATATGTTGTATCTTGAACTGGTGACATGTTCTACAAGACACAAAGACTGTGTGAGCCCTAGGAGATCATGCAGAGAATCTCAGCTTCTCATTTTGCTAGCATATTGGCTCATGGTAAGTTACTAAGGTAAGTTTCTCAGAGTCACTCAGACAGCGAGTCTGAGCTTACCCCCAACACACACTTTAAAGAACCCTGAGGATTTCAGACACTGGAAAGTGTCCCAGGCGAATCAGCACTGCATCACAGTTCAGAACTTGGACTAAAAGGAAAAGCATTTGTCCCTGCAGGTGACGGAAAGTTCCAGCTAGAGGAAGGAATGGCACTATCCCAGGACAGGCAACAAGCAAAGATTAGGTTGCCCGAAAGAAACATTGAAAAGAGGTTTAGATCTCAGGTTTAGATCCAGCCCAGGTAATACGAGGCCCCTGAGGGTCCGGGGTTGTGACTTGCCAAGATCATGTGCACTAGGGGACTAAATAGCACATTCTGGACTTGGACTTGGGGTCTACATCACGTCACTGTGACTTACCCATTTAAGCAGGTGTGATCCAGAGTGAACGAGACTTTCCCAACCTAGTAAGAGCCTAGTAAAATCCCCCATCACAGAAACATGAAGACGCTCACCCAGTGATGTAAAGTGAGTTGGATCGGACACGGATGGCGGTGATGGGGCCGTCCAGCTGGTTGCCAGAATGGGAGAACCGTTTTCCTCCGTTACCACCATATTCCCCACTATAAGAGGACCTGGACTGAACTAGAGGAGAAAGAAAGGCTTGGAGGGACAAATACTCTGGGAGCTACCCTCATTTCCTCTGCCAACCCAAACCAGTGTCTGACAGCCCTGATGAGTTGCAGCTCACAGGCTGCCTTCTCGTGGTCCCATGGCCAGTTCTGGGGCATTTCACTTACTGGCATTGCCGAGGCCGAGGCACAAAGAAGGGCTAAAAGAATGACGGCCAACATTCTGAGGCTGCAGTGGGAAGAAGAGGGGAAAGGAGGGCTCATTCCTTTCTTTCCAACCTCATTCGCCTAGGCATTTCTTGCCGGAAATACAGACCCGTGTTCTGATGCTTCACCTCAGACCTAGCCCCAAGCCTAGAGGAAACGGCCGATGGACAGTCCCATTCCTTCCAGATCTATTCTAGGCCCGTAATCCCTCTGGTTCTTTCTGTTCTGACGGTAAGAGCCTAACTTCCCTGAAATCAGATGATTTATGGGCTATCTTAGGCACAGTTAAATCTTAGTGTCACCTACTCAGGTGGATCTCAGTGAGTTTAAGACCAGTCTGGTCTCCAAATCCAGTTCTAAGACAGCAGGGGCTATTCAGAGAAACCCTGTCTAGAAAAACAAAGCAAAAATAACTAACTAAATAAATCTTTAAAAAAAAAAAAAAGTAAGAACAGCAAGAGCTCGACCCTGAAGTGAGCTCTCCAGCCCCTTGTTTTTAAGATAGGGATTCACTGTGTAGCCCAGGTAGCTTAGAATTTGCACCATCTTGCCTCAGTATTCAAGTGCTGGTATTACAGGCATATGGTATTAGATCCAGGCTAGTAAGTGCTTTGTTTTATTGACGTCCCTACTTCCCACTTAAAGGCACAGAATGAAGGATTTAGGCCAGGGATTCTCAACCTGTGAGCCTCGACCCTTTGGGACTTAAAGGACCCTTTTACAGCAGTCTCTACAAACACATCAGGAAACATAGATATTAACATTATTATTCATAACAGTAGCAAAATCACAGGTATAAAGTAGAAATGAAACAACTTTATGGTATGGGTCACCACAACATGAAGAACTGTTTTAAAGGGCCCCAGCATTAGGAAGGTGGAGAAGCACAGTTTAGGCAGTTTGCCCCTCCTTTAACTGCTTGTTAATGCCAAAGCTTCAAATGAGGTCTAATTCTGAAGTCCACACATGAATTACCAGACCCCTTCTGTGTATACCGATGACATTTGGAGTCAAAGACAATGCTGGCTGGCAGCTCTCTGACCCCGATAAAGTCACTTAGCCACTCCAAACTTCATTTCTCTCTACAAAAATAATAACAGTAGGGGCTGAAGAGATGGATCAGCGGTTAAGAGCACTGACTACTCTTCCAGAGGACCTGGGTTCAATTCCCAGCACTCACATGGCAGCTCACAACTGTCTGAAAATGCAGTTCCACTAGATCTGACACCTTCACACCAATGCACATAAAATAAAGTTCAATAAAGCTTTAAAAAATAACAGTATTTATTACAGAAAACCCATCCAGACTAAAAATGTATATAAAACATTCAACATGGTGCCCTGCAAGTCTCAATGTCAGTTGTTGCTATTATGATTATTATTCTCTTTCTTGACACATTTTAATCTCAGCAGCTTGCTTCTACCCAGGATCCTAAGGGACTTCATACCCCAGATTCAGAAGGCACACTCAGCCTGAACCCTATCTGACTTCCTAAAGAATTCAACACACTTTTTTCTTCTTCTTTATTTCTTTGTAGACACATACAAGAAGAGGGCACCAGATCTCATTATAGATGGTTGTGAGCCATCATGTGGTTGCTAGGAATTGAACACAGGACCTCTGGAAGAGCAGCCAATGCTCTTAACCTCTGGGTCATCTCTCCAGCCCCCGGAATTCAACACACTTATGAGATACCCTTTTCCCTTGGTTTCTATGTCATCCATTTCCCTGACTGTTTTACTAGCTTTTGATTATTCCTTAGTTTAATGGTGTTAAATGTTTCTCCTATGTCCTACACCCTGTCAGCTTCTGTACTATTAGCATTTTGAGTTGTGTAATTCTTTGCTGTGGGGCTCACACTGCAGACTGTTCCACATACACCCACTAGAGTCCAGCAGCATTCTCTGTCTTTGTCTCCAAGTTGTAACAAGCAGAGCATGTCTCCAGACGCTTCCACGTGCTCACGGTGCACAAATGTCACCCCGGATGAGACAGCTCAGATTCACTTCACAGGCAACAGCCACCTTCTCTCAACACCAATTAATTACCTTCATTCTCATTTTAAACGAACATCTTCAAGCCGATGATGCCCTTTAGCCCCCTTATAGCAGAGAGCCGACTCCAATTCGCAGTTCCTCTGTCCAGTCTACCATCTACCTTCTCTAGGAAGGTTCTGAGGTGCCTCTAATTCCACCTGCACTAAACCTTCCCCACCTAGCTCCCTGCAACAGGTTCCTCACTAAGGCCTCAGACTCCAAACTAGGAATTTTAAACTGTCTTCTGTCTTACACATAATCATCAATACCTGACAGTTTTTCTTAATTTAAAATTTATTTAATATTATGTATGTCTGCGTACCACTGTTGTGGCTAGTTTTATGTCAGCTTGACACAAGCTAGAGTCATCTGAAAGGAGGGGACCTCAATTGAGAAAATTCCTCCATAGGCATCCATCTGTGGGCATTTTCTTAATTAGTGATTGATAGGCAGGACCCAGCCCATTCTGGGTGGCGCCATCCCTGGGCTGGTGGTCCTGGGGTCTATAAGAAAGCAGGCTGAGCGAGCCACGAAGAGCACCCAGTAGATAGCACCTCTCCAAGGCCTCTGCCTCTACACCAGCTCCTGTCTCCAGGTTGCAGCTCCTCTTCAGTTCCTGCCCTGAGTTCTCTCAGTGATGGGCTACAGTGTGGAAATGAAGCCAAATAACCCCTTTCTCCCTCAGCTTGCTTTTGGTCATGGAGCTTCATCACAGCTATGCTAACTCTTAGACAACCCCACATGTGCCTGGTGCCTGTGGAAGCCAGGAGAGGGGATCAGATCGTCTGAATTGCAGTTACAGATGGTTGTGGGCTCCCATTGGGTGTGCGGACCCAATCAGGACCCTCTGAAGGGCATACAACTTTCTCAGCTGCTGAGCCACCTCCCTAGCCTCTGCTCTTTCTTTCTAAATATTTATTTTGTTTTGTGAGAGTGGCTGCCTTGAGCTCCCAATCCCCCTGCCTCGGCCCCTGAATGTTAGGGGTACACCAGTGGTGGGCTCCAACTCATCTTCGAGTGTACGTACCCACACGTGTCTGTGGGAATGAATGGAGGTCAAATTTCAACCTCTGGTGTTTTCCAAGATGGGATGTAACTTAGGTCCTGTGATAAGTATTTTACCCGGCCAAGCTATCTTCCCAGGCCACACCTCTCTTCTAAGAAGAGAACAATGAATCAAAGAATTTTGGCCTTCTTTATGTCTAAATAACACTTTTTCTTTTGGTCCTTTTCATGGGTGAGTAAATCCTGCCCAGACTTTGAAACCTGCTTTGACCACCATTTACATATTTCTCTGTTTATGTGTATGAGAGTTTGGCCTGCTTGTATGTATTTCCACCGTGTACATGCCTGATGCCCTAGTATCCCCTGGAACTGGAGTTACTGAGAGGTGGGAGCCACCATGAGGTGCTGGGAACTGAACCCAGATCCTCTGGAAGAACAAGTACAACCCTAACTATCACTTTCTCTTTCTTTTTGTTTTTGTTTTTTTTTTTTCAAGACAAGGTTTCCCTCTGAGTAGGCCTGTCTGTCCTGGAACTCACTTTGTGGAACAAGCTGTCCTTGAACTAGAAGATTAGACTTCCTGTGTCTCCTGAGAGCTGGGATACAGATGTGGGCCACCACTGCTCCATGGAACTATCATTTGTTTTCAATAAAAAGCCTTCTTGAACTTGGTGGTGGTGAAGCATGCCTTTAATCCCAGCACTCAGGAAGCAGAGGCTGGCAGATCTCTGTGAGTTTGAGGCCAGCTTGGTCTACAGAACAAATTCCAAGACAGGCTCCAAAGCTAAATGGAGAAACCCTATCTCACAAAAAATACAAACAAAATAAAACATAACTAAATAAAATCCTTCTCAAAATACTGAAGGGTTTGTTTCAGCTTCTACACGTTTGTGCCTATCTACCATTGTTTTCATCGTATTACACTAGTTAATGAGTATAATGATCTGTTCTGTCCCTTTAAGAGACAAGCCATCAAGCCATGCCTACTCCCCTTTCCATCCCAGTCAGCTGAGGCAGGCAGATCTTCCTTCCTGTTTGCATCCTAAGTCTCTTCCTTTTCTGTCTCCCTCTCCACACTTCCCTCCTTTCCCTTCTGTTTCTACATTCTCTCTCTCTCTACTCTTCTCTCCTTTTTCCCCTTCCATAACCCACTGAATAAATATCCAGCCTCACTCTGCATGGCGTACCTATCCATGTCTCTGTCTCTCCTACTGCCATGTGTCTCCCTACCCTGGACCATCCCCCTTTGGAGACCTGTGGCATTGTCTCAGGGCCTGTTGCCCCAGCAGTCACTAGGGATCCTGCAGCATTTTACTTTTACAACGAGACTGCTTGAAAATGGTGTAGCCACCTCTAGGAAAGGAGCAGCATTCATTCAAACACTTCAATGTTCACTATGCACCAGACACAGGGGGTCTCAGCCTGTATTTGGGCCTGATCAAGGGAAGTGCATTGCCCAAGTGTGAATTTAGACACCTGTGGAGGTCCAAAGAGGCCAAAGGTCAGAGAGTTTGGGACTTGTTTGTAGTTCATTTTTGTGCCTCGAACTCAAACAAAGGTCCCACCTAGTTGTAAATCAAAGTTCTGCTCTCTGAAGGCTTATGTAAATGGGTGTGGCTAGTTGCCAGACCTGGTGCGTCTGATATAGGGAAGTACTTGGTCCCAATGTAAAACAAAAGTCTAAGGATCCAATTAAGTTCCAGTTCCCTTCACGGAAATAACTTCGGATTTCACCGAGGCAGTGGTTTGCCTGCAGAGTGTTTGGTCTAGGGCGTGAGTCAAGGGCGTGAGTGGTGAATGTACCTCGTGACGTGCAATTTGTATGTTAATGCCCACGCCTACCTTTTGAAATCAGGGGTATACTAACCAGTTGACAATTAAACATGGCGAATTTTCAGTACTCACTGAAATTCCCTCCTGATACTATGCTATTGTTTCTGCGTTTTATTATTTTCATTTGTGTCTTTGTATTCTTTACTATATTTCTAAATTCTCTTGCCTCCACTCTGGAAGAAAGGTATTTTTGTCGAGGCTGGCCCTGGACAGACCCCCCAGTACTGGCTAGTTGTGTCACCTTGGATTGAACAAACTACTTAGCTCATTATGTCTGTTTCCTCTTGTCCAAGTACAGGAGGCTGGTGAGCCTTAGAGGTTAAGAGAGTCTACTGCTCTTCCAGAGGAGCCGGGCTTGGTTCTCAGCACACATCAGGCAGCTCACAACACCTGTAACTCCAGCACTAGTGGACCCAACTCCCTCTTCTGGCCTCTGCAGGCATCCACACACAGGAGGGGCACACAAGATAAAAATAAAAAAGCAGCTACCATCTCGGATCTCTGTACAAACATTAAAGGATTCATTATAAATGCTTGCAGCTGTGCCTGGGGCGTGGCATTCTCCTTATGTCTGTCTCCCCCAAAGGCTGAGCAAACAGCAGTTGCAGACCAGAATTCGATCTAAAGAAACGAAAGACAGCTGGGCGATGGTGGCACATGCCTTTAATCCCAGCACTTGGGAGGCAGAGGCAGGCGAATCTTTGTGAGTTCGAGACCAGCCTGGTCTACAAGAGCTAGTTCCAGGAAGGCTCCAAAGCTACAGGGAAACGCTGTCTCTAACCCCCCCTTCCCCCCCCCCAAAAAAAGAAAGGAAAGACAGGCATATGCATATGCAAATCCACTTAGAAACGATTCTGAAATTCCTGACAGCCTTTCCAACATGAAAATAGCATCCAATTCCACGGCTAGAGGGAAGGTCACAGACTTTGATTTCTTTTTGCCGGAACAGATGCCTTCAAGCGCCCAGGCGAATCCCCTGAGATCCCTGGGGACCCAGACACCAGGTCTCTTCACTGCTCACTGCTCACAGATGAGGTGGCTGCCCAGCTTTACAGACGAAGCAAACAAAGTGTGCAGACGCTAGACGGGCACCGGAGCCCGGGCAGCGGGTCTCAAACGGGTTTAAGATGCCGAAGGCAGCGAGTGGAGGGCAGGGGCTTGCGGCGTCCACCCCCGCACTTTCGCTCCGCGCCCCCGCCCCCCGGATTCTTCGCGACAACCGCTACTCCGTAAACTGCACACAGCGACGCCTCGTCCTCCCGGCCCGCGCACCTGAATTGGCTTCCGCCATCTCCCGCCGCCTCGGCCTCGCCTTAGCCCCAGCGTCCACACGCCTGCGTTCTTTGGGACTGGCTGCTCTCTTTGGAATTACCCGGGTCCCGCCCCTCTCTCAGATTCGACCAATGACGACTTCTCACTTGCCTAAAGCCTCTGTTAAAACGCACAGCAATTCCACCTTCTCGGGCTCACTTAGGCTCCCTGAAAGCAACGTTTCCCAGGGACAGGCCCTGTAGTCTGTCACTAAGTGGTGCGCGCCCGAGGGTGCTGCACCTTCAGGATTTTGGATTTCCAGGCACGGAATTGGCAAAGTGCAGACTTTTCCTCCTCAGCTACGAGTCTGAGAGCCCTTGATTGCTTTTATCGTAACGTTCTCGGCGCTGAATATACTAGTTTTGCCTTTTGGAGCAGACGTGATCTTTATAGAGCCCTGGGCCGGAGTGACAGGGCAAAGGTTTCTCTGTGGTAACCTGAAATTGACACGCTTATCCCTTTTCTACTGTGGGAAATTACCCAACCCTGTTCTAGAAATTTGGGGTTGAAATGCGCCAGCTAACTGCATGCTTTTGGCTTCAGTTAAACTGTTTGTTTTACTTTTCCTTGCAACTGCCAACCTCCCGGGATGTCGTTTTTCTGTGGTTAAAAGCCTTAAAAGCTCCCTGAAAAATACATTTGAGGCTTCTCCGTGAGGAGTTTCTCTCCAAGCATTTGCGGATCGGCTTACTACAGATTCTCAACTCGGATTTTGGTCATGCTGGGTGGTCTTTAGTTTTCTATCCTGCAACACTGGAACTCACTAGGTAGAACAGGCTGGCCTCATAATCACAAAGATGTCCCTGCCTCTGCCTCTGCCTCTGCCAGATTAAATGACACCACCATGGCCTTCTGTTTCTGCATTTGTTTTTCAAGAAAAAAGCCCGATCTCTTCATCTCTTCAGTTCAAGACTAATCTGGACCTGGTCTACAAAGCTCCAAGAGCGCCAGGGCTACACAGAGACACCCTGTGACAAAAAAAAAAAAAAAAAAAAAAGTGGGAGGAGGAGAAGAAAAAGGCTTTCACTGCACCACCATTGCCTGGCCAGGATTTAGAAGCCCAACCTAGCAACTCATACCTTTAATCCCAGCACTCGGGACTCTGTGAGTTCTATGTCAGCCTGGTCCAACAGTGAGTTCCAGAGCATCCAAGGATACCCAGAGAAATTCAGTCTTGAAACAAAAATGAATAACAAAAGCCAAGATTTTGATTTATGGTCTATAAAGAACTTTTACAATGTATAAGTGTTGGTTATTTTTTATTTTGTGAGACAAAGTATCTTTATGTAGCCTTTCCTGTCCCAGAACTCACTATGTATACTAGGCTGAACTCAAACTCACAGAGACAGGTCTGCCTCTGCCTCCCTAGGGCTGGATTAAAGCCAGGATCAAAGTTCTATGCCACCATGCCCATCTCAATTTAAAGATATTGCTTGACGTTATTCACAGTTCTAGAATGGGACCACATTCCACACAGTAAAGAACTGATTGGTTATGGTCTGTTGACTTGAGGTTAACTGCATTACCGTGGCAACAGAAGCTGGGCTGTTCGGAATCTTGCTTATTACCTTTTTGTGAATTCTCGAATGGAAACTTTCTGTTTGATGTTGTAAAAACTTTTCATCATTCTGAATTTTTTGTTATTGTTATTGCTTGTTTTATTTTGTTTTTGTTTTTTGAGACAGGGTTTCTCTGTGTCCCAGGCTGGACTCACAGAGACCCGCTTAACTCCGTGTTGAGTGCTGGGCTTAAAGGTATGAACTGCAAGGTCTGGGCTTATTTCTTTCTTCCTTTCTCTCTCTCTTCTTCGGCTTCTTTCTTTCTTCCTTTCTCTCTTCTTCTTTTTCTTCTTCTTCCTCCTCCTCCTCCTCCTCCTCCTCCTCCTCCTCCTCCTCTTCCTCCTCCTTCTTCTTCTTATGCATCAGGGTCTCACTCAGTACCCCAGGGTGGACTGGATCTTACTATGTAGGCCAGATTTGCCTCACATTCTAAGCAACCGTACTGCCTTAGTCTTTCAATGCTAGGATTGCAGGTTTGAGCCATACTCCTGGCAAAAGAAAAGATTTTAAATGTTTTCACCTACAAGACACTATGCAAGCATAGATTTGCTTTCTTTTTTCTTCTTTTTTTATAGATTTATTTATTTATTATGTATACTTTGTACTATCTGCATGTATGCCTACAGACCAGAAGAGGGCGCCAGATATCATTACATATGGTCGTGAGCCACCATGTGGGTGCTGAGAATTGAACTCAGGACCTCTGGAAGAGCAGCCAGTGCTCTCAACCACTGAGCCATCTCTCCAGCCCCCAGATTTGCTTTCTTAATCATTCCATATTGTAAGTATATATCAAATCATTACACTGTACTGCATGTATAATTTGTATCTTTCAATATAAAAGCGCTTTTTTTGTGGGTGTTTTGTTTGTTTGTTTACTTCAAGACAGGGTCTCACTATGTTGCTGACTGTCCTGGAACTCTCTATAAAGACCAGGGTGGCCTCAGACTCACAGAGATATCTGCCTGTGAAGGCGTAAGTCATAAACAATGCCACACCAGTTTGGAATTATGATTAATAGGGTGGTATTTATTTAAAGGGGAAAAAACTTGCATATCACCATCAGCCCTCTGCGCAACCAGGAAGGGAGTCTAGTCACCTGCGGAGCAGGAAGTAAAGAGAGAGAGGAGAGGGAAGTGGTCACTTTTTAAAGAGAGAGAGACCATCCCCCAAAGGGCTGGTATCTCAGCAGCTATAGGCTGGAGTAACGGGAGGACCTCCTGCAACATGCCTGCTTCTGCTTTCTGAGTGCTGGGCTTGAAGGCGTGTGCTATTATACCCAGCGCGAGAGAAAGACGTCATGCGGCAGAGCACACGTGAAGGGGTTTTTTTTAGGGGTAAGGGGATGGGAAAGGGGACAGAGACAGGGGAGACTGGGCTCTGGGGAAAGGAGGGAGAGTCAGAAGGAGAACCTGAGAGAAGCAGAGCAGGAAACAGAGACATATTCATATTTTAGCCAGACATGGGTGGCACTTGGGAAGCAGAGGCAGGCAGATATCAGTGAGTTCGAGGTCAGCCTGGTCTACAAGAGCTAGTTTCAGGAGAGGCTTTAGGTACAGAGAAACCTTGTCTTGAAAACCAAACCAAAACAAAACAGATTTATTTATTTATTCCTCCAGAACATAATATTTTTTTGCTTGTTTGAGGACTTTATGCAGTGCATCCCAATCACACTCATTTCCTATCCTCCCAGGTCCACCCTCGCACCCCCATACCCCTGTCCTAAGTTCACCAAGTCCAGTTTGTGCTGTCCATAAACTCATTGAGCATGGTCAACTCCCAGTGGCCAGTTCTTGAACACATCTGAGTCCCATGTTGTTCCCTTGTGCTCCACCCACCAGAAATCATCAGTTATAAAGAGCTACACTTTATCACATTTTAAAGGATTTACTTCAGTGACCTCCTGTCTAGAATTTCTTGTAGACAGATGTTTTTCTCCCGACTGCCCTTTCCCAAATATCTGGCAGCCGCTTCCCAAATAATTGACTCAGAGGCTGAATATGAATTATAAATGCCTTGCCAATAGCTCAGGCTCGTTACTAGCTAACTTACACTTAAATTAACCCATATTTCTATATTCATCTCCACATGGTGGTACCTTTGTTAGCATGGCACATTCATCTTCTGCTTCTTCTCTGTTTGTTTGGCGTCTCCTGACTCCACCCTTCTCCTTCCCAGCATCCTTACTTTGGCTGCTCCACCTGTACTTCCTGCCTGGCTACTGGACAGTCAGTGTTTTATTAAACCAATTCGAGTGACAAATCTTTACAGTTTACAACAGGATAATTCCACAACATTCTCTTTTTCTTTTGGAAGTGGTGTGGGGTGGGGTGGGAGATTGTCACAGATGCCTTCAATGTCTCTGATTCTCAGTTATGAGTCCTCAGTCATGAATACCACTGTAAATGAAGTTACCTTGCCTGTTATGGGCAAGCATCAGCGCAGACTACAGCGTGTTTTTATTGTTGCCTTTTTTTTTAAATATTTATTTATTTATTATGTATACAATATTCTGTCTGTGTGTATGTCTGCAGGCCAGAAGAGGGCACCAGACCTCATTACAGATGGTTGTGAGCCACCATGTGGGTGCTGGGAATTGAACTCAGGACCTTTGGAAGAGCAGGCAATACTCTTAACCACTGAGCCATCTCTCCAGCCCCTATTGTTGCCTTTTAAAGACAAGGTCTCTCATTGTGGCATTGGCTGTCTTGGAAGTCACTGTGTAGACCAGGCTGGCCTCAGATTCACGGATATCTGCCTGACTATGCCTCTCCAGCCCTGGGATTAAAGACAATCTCCACCATGCTAAGTATTATATTTTATTTTATGTGAATGAATATTTTCCCTGCATGTCTGTCTGGGCACTACATGTGTACCAGAAGCGGGTATCAGATCTCTTGGAACTGGAATTAAGATTGTGAGCCGGCCAGTGGTGGTGGAACACGCCTTTAATACCATCACTTGGGAGGCAACAGAAGGAGGACTCTGTGAGTTCAAGGCCAGCCTGGTCTACGGAGAGAGTTCCAGGACAGCCAGGACTGTTCCACAGAGAAACCTTGTTTCTACACACCCCCACCTCTACCCCAAACCATGAAAAGATTGTGGGCTACCAGTTGAGTGTTTTGAGTACAGGGAGTTGAATCAAGGTCCTCTGCAAGAGCAACCTGCTCCACCTTTTCCCTTCCCTCCAAACTGTCTCCCAAACACTGCTAAAACTTTTTTTAAAAAATATATGGAAATTCTTGTTGTTCTTCTTCTTCTTTTGTTTTGTTTTTGTTTTTGAGACACAGGTTCTCTGTGGCTTTTTGCTTGTCCTGGAACTAGCTCTTGTAGACCAGGCTGGCCTCAATCTCACAGAGATCCTCTTGCCTCTGCCTCCAAAGTGCTGGAATTAAAGGCGTGTGCCACTACAACCACCTGGCTAATGGAAATTCTTCATACACGTGTCTTTTGCCAAAAAAAAAAAAAGTTAAGAATGCTGGTTGTGAAAGTGAGAGGGTCAGAGGTCAAATCTCCTCCATAGAGTCAGGTGTGGCCATTGGAATGCCTGCAGCTTCAGCATTGGGGAGTTCTCTGGGCAGAGAGCCCAGCCAAAATAGTGAACATCAGGCTCAATGAGAGACCCTATCTCTAAACAAGGTGGCATGTGACAGAAGACACAATGATGACAGTGATCTCCCCATGCACACACGTGCGCAAGTGTGTGTTCCTGTACATACACAATGCACACAAAAAAGAAAGAAAAAAGAAAAAAGATAAGAAAAGTTCAAAAAGGTGGAGAGCAACAGAAGATATATGATATCAACATCTATGTATTACACGTGATATCAACATCTATTACATGTGATATTAACATCTGTCCATTACATGTGATATCAACATCTATCTATTACATGTGATATCAACATCTATCTATTACATGTGATGTCATCATCTAGCCTCCACACAGGTGAGCACACACTCATCACACACATGCACATACTCATTACATGTCATTACATGTACTCACACACACACCATAGACTATATCCCTACTCCACATCGCATACTTTAAAGGGGTGAATTTCATGCTATGTAATATACATATAAATAAAAGACAATGACATAATCTCCTTCATGTAACTGTTTGAAGGAACTGTTTGGGGAAATGGCTCTTTGATAGAATGTTCACCTAGCATGTATGAAGCCACAGTATTATATAAATGGGACGTGGTAGCATACTTCTGGAACCCAGACTTCATTAGCTCCATGCTGCTACCCATTAAACCTGTTAGTGTTGTAGAACTCAGAACTGGGATCCGAAGAATTATTTTCAAAGTAACGTTCTATCTTTGCTGAATTTATCTAGTGGTCCATATTCTCACCAACCCCTTATATTCATGAATGCCCACAGTGGAAAGCTCCCCTCTTGCCCCTTTATCTATTTATTCATGCATTGAGGTTTCTGGGACAGTGTCTCACTGTATCCAGGATTAACCTGTAGCACGAATAATAAAAACCCAGAGACAGGTATTGGGGTCCAAGCTGAAGATCAGAAAAGCAAAGCAGCCATTCACTAGAGACCTTTTGCCTCTACCAGATCTTCAGACTGAGTGTGCGAGATCCCGACTCTGAATCCTCAGACTCCACACTCCACTGAGTCCTGTCTCTTCCCTTTCTATTCCTCTCTCTGCCCAGCCATAACGTTCCTATCTCCATCTTCCCAGTGCTGGCATTAAAGGTGTGTGACTCCCAAGCCCTGGGATTCAAGGTGTGAGCCACCATCACCTGGATCTGTTTCTGGATGGATCTTGTGTAGCCCAGGGTAGACTTGCACTCACAGAGATCTGTCTGCCTCTGTCTCCCAAATCCTGGGATTAAAGGTGTGTGCCACCACTTCCTGGCCTCTAGCTTTGCATTCTGATCTTCAGGCAAGCGTTATTTATAAAAATACAAATAAAATATCCTAACACTAACCTGGAATTCACTCTGTTCCCCAGGCTAGCCTTAAACTTGTGGCAATCCTTTTGCCTTCTGAAGCCTCTTAGGGTCTTACTATGTATAACTGTTGGCCTTGAACTCACTATGTAGACCAGGCTAGCCTAGTCTCTCAAGTTCTGGAGACCACCACCATGGCTCACTTAGGGTTTCCCCTTTTGTTTTTGATTTCTTGAGATAGGGTCTTTTTCTGTAGCCCTGGAACTCACAGACAGCTACCCGCCTCTGCTTTTGCTTCCCGAGTGCTGCCATTAAAGCTGTCACCGGCCATGTCAGGACGGGGGTTTTCCTTTTTTGAGCACAGATAGAGTTCACACTACTGGGAATGTGTGAGCTTCCTGAGGAAAGAGTCTCAATTTTGAGAGATCTAAATTAGAAACACCCAGACTTGTGAGTAAAATTAATAGGATCTGGGCTAGGGCAACAGGGTGAAGTCCATGGCAAACTTTAGAAGTTAAGTGGATTCCAGAAAGAAGAAAGGGTAATGTTCCCACCACAGACAGCAAGTGGCTTCACGTAGATGGAAGACGGTGACATCTGGGGCAGGAAAACACTTTTCCAAGGCAAGGAGAAGAAGAGAGCTGGAGAGTGGGTTTTGGCAAGTTGGAATATCTGAGCCTTACTGTAGCCTCTGAGCTCCTATTGGGAAAAATCTCAGTGGCTATTCTTGGAAAGAGTCGGTACAGGCATAATTTTGTCTTATTTGTTTTAATAACATGTAAAGAAAAGCCTCTATCACTTGTCTTTCTTGTTCTCCCATTTTCCAGATTAATGTTCAAGAGCAGCAGATATAGAGAGGCAGTGGTGGCAAACCCCCCTTGGATCCCAGCACTCCAGAGGCAGAGACAGTCAGATCTCTGTGAGTCCAGCCTGGTCTACATAGTGCGTTCCAGGACAGCCAGAGCTATGTAGAGAGGTCATGTCTCAAATTTTAAAAAACAAAAATTATTAAAAAAATCCAGAAGTAAGATTCACACAATTGTATTAGAATTAAGATGTGAACACTGTCTCAGTCATATCCTTTTATTAAGCTATTTGCACATTTGCATGGGTCTTAGTGATAAGGAAGTTCTCACTCCCACCACAGCACCCCGCCAGAGAGAAAGGTGGGCTTCAGCAAGTGCTGCACTGGCTAGGGTAGACATCCCAGTGTAGGCTGATGGCATCGAGGGCCGCGCCGGATCGGCCACTAATGAAGCGGAGGACGGTGTTGGGGTGCAAGGGAACAGCATTGAAACTCGTGCCTGAGTCTTTTCCAAAAGGCAGGTAGCGGCCTTTGTCTGTCACGAAGATCAGCTGCTTCACATAATATCTGTATTTGCCAGACACCTGGATCACGGATTCCCCGGGGTGCAGAAAGATCTCCTCCTGGTCTCCCAGCTTGCTACCCACGTATTCGCTCCACACTGTGCCATAACGCACTTGGATACTGGGGGCAGGTGTGAGAAGGAAGAAGGAACACATTGGTTATCACAATCAAGACTGGGATGGATGGTAAGGTAGATCAGCTGGTAAAGCTGCCTGCTGCCAATCCTAACAACCTAAGTTCAACCCCTAGGTCCATATGGTGGAGGGAGAGAACCCATTCCCTCTGGCTTCCACATGTACAAGGGGACACTTGAGCAATTCCACACATGCGCACAAACATAAAATAAATGTGTTATATATTTTATATATTTCATTTATATATTTAATATATTATTTATAATATCATTTATATATATAGATCAAGTCTTCTTAGTCTATATGTTGTATCTTGAACTGGTGACATGTTCTACAAGACACAAAGACTGTGTGAGCCCTAGGAGATCATGCAAGGAATCTCAGCTTCTCATTTTGCTAGCATATTGGCTCATGGTAAGTTACTAAGGTAAGTTTCTCAGAGTCACTCAGACAGTGAGTCTGAGCTTACCCCCAACACACACTTTAAAGAAGCCTGAGGATTTCAGACACTGGAGAGTGTCCCAGGCGAATCAGCACCGCGTCACAGTTCAGAACTTGGACTAAAAGGAAAAGCATTTGTCCCTGCAGGTGACGGAAAGTTCCAGCTAGAGGAAGGAATGGAACTATCCCAGGACAGACAACAAGCAAAGATTAGGTTGCCTGAAAGAAACATTGAAAAGAGGTTTAGATCCAGCCCAGGTAATACGAGGCCCCTGAGGGTCCGGGGTTGTGACTTGCCAAGATCATGTGCACTAGGGGACTAAATAGCACATTCTGGACTTGGACTCGGGGTCCACACCACGTCACTGTGACTTACCCATTTAAACAGGTGTGATCCAGAGTGAACGAGACTTTCCCAACCTAGTAAGAGCCTAGTAAAATCCCACATCACAGATACAAGAAGACGCTCACCCAGTAATGTAAAGTGAGTTGGATCGGACACGGATGGCGGTGATGGGGCCGTCCAGCTGGTTGCCAGAATGAGAGAACCGCTTTCCTCCTTTGCCTCCATATTCCCCACTGTAGGAGGAGGACCTGGACTGAACTAGAGGAGAAAAAAAGGCTTGGAGGGACAAATACTCTGGAAGCCACCCTCATTTCCGCTGCCACCCCAAACCAGTGTCTGACAGCCCTGATGAGTTGCAGCTCACAGGCTGCCTTCTCGTGGTCCCATGGCCAGTTCTGGGGCATTTCACTTACTGGCATTGCCGGAGGCCGAAGCACAAAGAAGGGCTAAGAGAATGATGGCGAACATTCTGAGGCTGCAGTGGGAAGAAGAGGGGAAAGGAGGGCTCATTCCTTTCTTTCCAACTTCATTTGCCCAGGCATCCCTTGCCTGGAATACAGACCCGTATTGTTCTGATGCTTCACCTCAGATCTAGCCTCAAGCCTAGAGAAAACTGCCAATGGACAGTTCCGTTCCTTCCAGATCTTTTCTAAGCCCCTAATCCCTCTGGTTCTCCCTGTTCTGACTTTCCTGAAATCGGATGGTTTATGAGCTCAGGCATGGCTAATCTTGAGCGTCACCCTACTCCTAAATGAAGGCGAAGAACACCTGTGAGGCCTCTGCGGCCCCTCCGGAGCAAAGGAGGCAGTAGAAGATGGTGCACCAACACCAGCGTCCAAGGAGCCCTCCCTGGTGGAGCCAAGAGGCTGAGAGGTTTCAGGAGGCGCTTGCCCGAGCTCGGACAACAGGTCCCAGGCAACTTCTCCATGTTTGACAACTGTCTCCACCAGCTAAATCTGCTCAGATCCACTCCCTTAGCCAAAACCAGATATCCTTGCACCCCAAAATAGCTTACATCCAGGAGCTGCTGCCCTGCTCAGGTCTCCCCTGCTACAGTCCAGGCATTGTGTTTTCCAGCTCAGATTTGAATACCCACCCCCATCCCCCTGTACCAACTCACCTTTCCCTTAGCAACTTCAGGTGCAGATCTTCTAGAAATTCCCAGGCCTTTATACCAGGTCCTGGCCCTCCCCCTCTTCTTTACCATGTGAACCTCACCTGCTGAGCAAACATGACCAGCCTCTTGGGGTCAGGTGTCAAGCAGGGTCTGGAACATCTTATCCTGCCTCTCCCCAAGGGTTACAGGTGGCAAGGTGGGGTCCACTCTAGATACAGTGAAGATTTGTAAAGAGACAGAACAAATTTGTTTAAAGTCCAGCTGAAGGATGGGAAAAGCAGCTCATTTCTCAAGAGTGCAATTAATGCAGACGTGGTGGCTCGTGTTAGCAAGGTCTGGGCTGGGGTGGGAGGTGGGATGGGGTGGGGCTGAAGCAAGAAGATTGTGACTGGGCTGGGCTACAATTGGAGACTCTGTCTGAAAACTCAAGCAAATGAGAATGCCATCCAAGAGGCCTGGAGGGAGGTTCTCCCTACCCTAAACCATCTGTTAGTGCTCTTGCCTGAGACCTGCCTTCTGCTGGGTAAATGTTGCCCTCTTCAGTCATTTGTAATATACCTTCTCCCAGAATACAAAACCACCTTCAACACTGAGCAGTACCAAATATTTGCCTTACAATTTTTCTCTATTTGTTGACATCTCATTATGAAAAAGTCACCCATAGAGTTTAAACATTTATATAGTGAACAGCTATATCACAGTCTGCCGTGACCAACATTTTGCTGGGCTGGGTTGTCTGTTCTCTGTGCCTACATCCATCCATCCTTAGTCCAGACCCTTCTCAAGACATTTCTCTCTGAGAAGGGGAACTTGGGGCTGTAGGTGTGCTCTAAATCTGTGGGTTCCCCATCTCTTCCTTCAGACACAGTCAGCCCAAAGGGCGTGTGGGAAGCTGAGAGTATACAAGTCCTCCTCTGTGAGGAGTTCTGGACTTAGAACCTCAGGACCTCTAGGTACCGCGGTGGTAGACCACCAGAGCGAATTGCCCCTCTCCTTCAGCCTGAAACAGCACCAGAAGCAGTGCTGTAGATTTCTCCTCTCTAGGTTCTTTCCTTCCAGGACTGATTCCCTTTTTGATCTAAAGTCCCTAGAACTGACCACGAGTCCTAGTGCTTGCCCTGTTAGACTGGCCCTTTGATCCCTCCGCATCGTCAGGACTATCCTGGTAGAGAGGATGGAGCCTAGGGAGGGGCTAGAATAAGCAGTAACAACAACCTTAACAACCCACAGCAGTCAGACACTCAGACCGTCCGCCCCTTTCCTCGCAGGCTTACCATCTGGGACTGGAGACTCATCCCAGATAGCACAGGTGTCCTGCCCTGAGGAGCCGGAAATAGGGCAGGGCTGCTGGGCGACAGCTCCCAGGAACAGAGCCAGACAGCCACCATGATTCCAGTTCTCCCTCCTTTCCTTTTTACCAAGTTCGAGATAAGCACAGAACATTGGCTCCATTCCCATTGTTCTCCTATGTCCACTGCACTCCCTGCGTTTCTGTCTCAGTTCTTATGTCTGGATGTTTCCCCGCATTTCTTACTCTGAGGTTCTTTTTTTATAGTCTTTCTTTTCCCCTAGACATAATGAATAGCCCATGCCTTCCAAAGCCATTTGCTACGGCAGGGTACTGGCATTTCTCCTTTTCCTCTGCCCTCTTGATAAAGACTCACTCAACCTATGTTGGAGGCCCCATTTGTCGGAGAGGTAGCAGGAGCGCCAAGAGCGCACCTCAGAGACCTTCTTCTCTCCCAGTGAGAAGAACTGCACAAATGGACGCTACCATAAAATATGTCAAAGCTATGAAGCGGTAAGGCAGAGTGAGAGCATGGAGGGCACTAGGGAAGCAAGGAAGCAAAGACCTAGGAGGCATCTCTGCTCGAGAGAAGGGGAAGACTGGCATGAGGAAGAGAAAGGTAGGTATTGGGGTGACTGCTGATCCAGACGGAAGTGTCAAAGCTCTGGGTGGTGAGTGTGAGAATCTGGAAGAGCAAGGAGGGTGGGATGAGGGGTAGTCTGCAAAGGAGGCCAGCAGGAGGTGATGTCTCAGCGGCAGCTGGTGGCAGCTGGTGCAGTGGTGGCAGCTGGTGCAGGCCTGGGAAGTAGGGGTTAGGAATTTGGCTGCTACACTGTGAGGAGTCTTTTTAGTCGGAACTGTGAAGAAATAAATGCTCTCTGGATTTTGTAAAGTGGAAGGCAGAATGGGTCAAGTAAAGGCAGAAACGGGGTGCATAGGAAAAGTGGCATGACCCTCCCATTTCACGCAATCCTCTCCCCTCTCCTGAACTGCCACAGAGATGGCAGTCTCTCCAAGAGAACGGGCCTCGTCCCCTTGGTGCAAACTCAGACCCCATGGTAGGGATCTGCCTCCCCACTCTATTGGAAGTAAAAATAGTGAATTTAGTTCAAAAATGTTAATTGGCTTTTATTTGCAATCCAAGGAACAGGCAACACTTCGTTTTTTCATCAAACAGGAGAAGCGGTCCACCAAGCGGAGCCTGAGGCAAGATGGGGAAAGTTAAGGGGATCAGAAAGGGAAGAGTGCCTCCCACTCTTGGATCTACCATACATTTCTCATTGGCCAAGAGTCAAGAATCTTGATGCATTTGATCAAATCTCACAAGTTCCTAGGAGCTACATACTCTCTTTTCTTAGAAGTATCACAAACAGGGTTATTAAATCAGCTATCCAGAAACAAACAAACAAAATAAACAGCTAACCAGTCATGTCCTGTGTAGAGTAAGGATTCTTTGACCTTTAAATATCTAGACTATATTCTTTGAAGAATACAACCTAAATACCACTACTGTTTATTTGTTTTTTTTTTATATTTTAACTGTGTTTGTTTGTATGTGTGTGTGTGTGTGTGTGTGTGTGTGTGTGTGTGTTTGTCTGTCTGACTAGTGCATATGTGTGGTACGTGCACTGAGCAGGCTTGTGCAGAGACTGAAGTGGGACCTTGTACCAGACTTTTCCATCAGGACCATCGGTTCCCCAAAGACATGAAGACTTTTTATTAATTATAAGAACTTGGCTGATAGCTTAGTCTTATTTCTAACTAGCTCTTATAACTTAACTCTTATCTTTTAATCTACGTTGTTTTATGTGACTTGGTTATTTTTACTTGTACTGCCAATGCTGCTCACTCTGCACCCCCGGCGTCTCTGCCTTCTTCTTCCCAGCATCCTCTCTGCCCTGGAAACCCTGCCTAGCTATTACCATTCAGCTTTTTATTAAACTAATCAGAGCGACACATCTTCACAGTGCACAAAGAGATTGTTCCACAATGGGACATTCAGCGTCTTCCTTCTCTCTTTCTGCCTTGGTCACCTTGAGACAGTACCTCTCACTGAACGGGACGCTCACCATTTTGGCTAGGTTGGCTGACCAGGCAGGCTTTCAGGATCTGTCTGTGTCTGTCTTCCATCTCTTGGTTACAGGCACATGTGGCCATGCCCACGCCTAGCTCCTGTGGTCATTCCTACGGCATTTACATGTGTACTTCTCTTTAAGCCTGCACTCTGTTCTCTGGACTTGCAGTCTTCGTTTAAAAAAACTCCAACTTTGTTTCATTCTGACTTGGCTTGAACTTGTCTCCTGCAGCATAAGTCAAGGTTCTGACTACACCAGCATAGGGGTCTTGGAGGACAATGTCAGGCTTCATACAGAGCTCACAATGTTGAGTTACCTCATTCACTGCCAGTGATTTCTATTTTGTTTTTAGTTTTCAAATTCAGGGTTTTTGAGACAGGGTCTCATGGGGACTAGGCTGGTCTCAAACTCAGTATGAGGATGACCATGAACCCCTAGCACCCCATCTCTAATTCCCAAGTGTGGGGATTTTATGAGCATGCACCACTGTGCCCAACTTCTTTGGCATACTCTCTAGGATCCTTGTGAGTATGTCAGTGAGCTTTTCTGACTGCTGAGTACTTGGCCAGTTTATTCTGAGTTTTGTTTCCAGAGACCACCTAGTGTTTTTTTGTTTTTTTTTTTTTTTTTTTTTTGGTTTTTTTTTTTTTTGGTTTTTTCGAGACAGGGTTTCTCTGTGGTTTTGGAGCCTGTCCTGGAACTACGTCTTGTAGACCAGGCTGGTCTCGAACTCCCAGAGATCCGCCTGCCTCTGCCTCCCGAGTGCTGGGATTAAAGGTGTGCGCCACCACCGCCCGGCCCACCTAGTGTTTAATAGATTATGGGTGCTGAAACTGGCATCAATTGACTGAATTTTCATCCCTTCCAGGTTTAGATGGAACAATGACATCTGTCAGAGAAGACATCTCTGTAAAAACTGACCCATCTTAAGCTGCTTTGTTTCTTTCTTTGTTTCTTCCCTCCCTCTCTCCCTCCTTCCCTCCTTCCCTCCCTCCCTCCCTCCCTCCCTCCCTCCCTCCCTCCCTCTCTTTTGTCTCTCTCTCTCTTTCTTTTGTGTGGTGGTTTGAAAAGAAAATGGCCCCCAAAGGGAGTGTCACTATTAGGAGATGTGGTCTTGTTGGAGGAAATGTGCCACTGTTGGGGGCGGGCTTTGAGATCTCTTTGGTTTAAGTTTCCCTTAGTGTGACAGTCGACTTCCTGTTGCCTCTGAGTCAAGATCTAGGACTCTCAGCTCCAGTGCCCCATCTGCCTGCTCCCTGCCATGTCCCCACCATGATAATAATGACTGAACCTCTGAAACTATAGTCAAGCCCCCTCAATGAATTGTTCTCATTTATAAGGTCATGGTGTTTCTTCACAGCAATAAAAACCCAAGGTAAGACAGTTTGTTTTGTTTTTTTTTTCAAGAGAGGGTTTCTCTGTATGGTGTTGGCTATTCTGAAACTAGATCTGTAGACCAGGCTGGCCACAGACTCACAGGTTGCCCAGCCTTGGCCTCCTGAGTGCTTGGGTTAAAAATGTGAGTCACCACACCTGACCTAGTGTGTCTTTTAAAATGACTGTAGAGAAACGATGTGGTCCATTTGCTTAGAGGTCCCCACACACACTGGAGCCTCAGGGACTCCCAGAGTCTCTCCAGGTAGAACAGAGCAGCCAGGGCA